GCATGTCTTTTTATGTTCACGCTATACGTAATTTATAACCAAATATACATTTTTTATTATTTTTATCTTATAGTGACTTTCATAATTTTAATTTTTTCGTCTAATCTTAATCAACTATATTTACATAATTATTTTATGGCTTTAAATGTTGTTAATAGATGTTTATAATAAATCTAAAGTGAGATGAACTTTTATTAATTTATATTAAAAGAACCCTAAACAGCTAGTATTATTAGGCTAAACGCCTTTTGAGCATTTGTGTTTTGCCAAAATAATAATTACCGGAACATATTAGGTAAGGACTAATAAGTAAGATAATAATAATTATGCTCGTAATAAATAAACAAGACGTGCAAAGATAAACTTCATACAAATCGGGTCAATGTTTTAATTCTCATTATAGCTCAAATTTTCTTGTTTTTCATTAACAGTATCAAGTTTTTGTTTTTTTTTAAACTATTCAAAGTACCTTGCTTTCGTTTCTCGCTTATTTTGTAACTAAAAGATGGAATCAATAGAAATTTAGTTGCAATTAACCAAGCTGGTTTTAGAACAACAACACTATAATAAAAGAAATTATATTCAACAACGAAATAATAATTCACACAACAAATAAAAATCAATTCGTTTACAATATTTATTTGCAGTATACAGTATTCGATATTAGAACGTACGGTTCGATTAGAACTGTATCAGCATTGTTTGTTGAAAAAAAAAATGCTTAAAGTTTAAATTTTTAAACTGATCGAAAAACTTAAAAGTATTAGTTAGTAACTTAAGGTAGTTTATATTATTAAAAAATTAATTTATAATATATGCAAACATTTTTATATGCTATAAAGTAAAATTCGTTAAAAGCAGAGCTGTTTTCAAGTCGCTTTAGAGCAAGTCTCAAGTCAAGTCTCAAGTCACTGAGGTCAAGTCTCAAGTCATATAGTGACATGTCAAGTCAAGTCTCAAGTCAAGTCATATTACAATAAAAGATTCCCGTGCGTGTGGTGGCTATCAGTGACGCGGCTAGGAGTTCGAAGGCCCCTTCCAAAACCTGTTATAAAAACCACGAAATTCCTCTTACAAGAGGGGCATCGGGGAACCTTGCGATGGCTCTGGTAGCTACATTCAAACAGTCACCTTACAATTATAAAATGCAGCATGATAATAGTTATAATTTTACTTTGTTTACTAAAGTAGCTTTAAAAGTAAAATAAACCATCTGTAACAAAATTAGCTAAAAAAATAGCTAAGGAGTCATAATACATAATACAGTGACATAACACTTCATAAGCTATTTAGCCAATTTACAAATGTTTTTATTCTATCATTCTTTTGAAAAAAAGATTACAAATGCTGATTTTCATAAAAAATTATAGTAATATATCCGTGTTACATTTTAAAAACACTGACAAATAGTGTCAGAATTTAAACTTGCACGCTTAGGGTTTATAATCAGGCCATCCTGACTGAATACCCTTTCAACAGGAGCACTGCTTGCAGGTACCACAAAAGTATACATGGCAGCACTTTGGAGAATTGGTAATTTTTGCCCATGCATTTTCCAAAATTGGAGACAATCTATGTCTAGGGTATTGAAATTAGATGCAAACACTTTATTTACCAGTTCCTCATAGCAATGAAACTGAGTATCAAAACTTTTAACAGATTGTTGTAATGTAGTTCCAGTCTGAATGACAGGTGTAGATCTACAATAAGAGTACAAAAATGAATTAGTTCTCGGCTTCTTAGAGGATAGGTTTTCTGGTAAGACTTTTCCGTCCATGGCTACATTGGTATGGCTAAACTGCTTGTTGCAGAATTGACGAATTTTTGAAATAATATTTGTCTTTAAGTTGTCTGTTTGAACTGGATTGACATGACATAGCTTCTCAGTCCGAAAGAAAAAAAAATTGGGATCCAAAACTGTGGCAATAATATATATCAAGTCATTAAATGGTAGTTTCTTATCTATTGATGGGATAATGTCAACATTTGCAAATATACCAGAAATTTTTTTTTGAAGATTGTTTCGCAATACCGGACAGATAAATTGTATTAAATTGTTCTAAGTGACTATACAGCCCAACGATAGATGGAACTACTAATGAAATTGTTATATTTTTTTCACCTTGAGTCCTATCGGTGGCTTCAAGAAATGGTTGCAATAAATCAATGAGCTCTCTAAGTTGAACGTATTCTCTTTCATTTAGTATTAGATTGCGGTGACTTAAATCATCAAGCAGGTTTTTCAAATTCTTTTCATCTAAATTGACAACGCTTTTTATGTGACGGAATGTGGAATTCCACCTTGCTGCGTTTACTCGAGGAATACCCTGTTTGGAACCAAACGTTTTATCAAAACCCTCTTTAAATGTTGTACTAGTATGAAGCAAAGTGCATATTTTGGATGCTTTAGCTTGAGCGGAGTAAATTTTTGCCTCTTTAAGACCATCGCCAACAACTAATTGTAGGGTGTGAGCAAAACAGCTTAGTCTTGTAACCTCTCTTCTTGGGTTAAGCTGATTGATATTTTGGATTATTTCGTCCGGTGCAATAATGTCTTCCCACAGGTATTCATTTTCTAAGTCCTCTGCAAGTTCCTCTGCAGATGTATCACCTCCACCTTCGGGGTCTTCCGGAAAATTTGTAGTAAATGCTTTGCGCATGTTTGAGGCATTGTCCGTCACAACATGCACAACCTTGTCAAGAATTTTGTATGTTTTACAAATGGATTCAAAATGTTCTGCTATGTTATCACCAGTGTGAGCATCTAAAAACCTATCGCATGCCAACAGTCGTGTGTGACAGTGATAGTTATGTATGTAATGCGCTGTTACACCAAGGTAACACCTCATTTTTCTATCTGACCAAATATCAAGTGTTAGGGAAATGCTTGCAGCTTGACATAAATTTTCAGTTAATTTTTTCTTTGCATCCGTTACGTTTTCTCTAAATAGGTTTTTACGGCAAAACGGCTAACAGTTGTGCACTGAGGATCAAGAACGTTATTGTATCGCCTAAAATGTTCACTTTCTACTATAGACACGGGTAGTGATGCACCAGCTACTAGATGTTTCACAACGGCTGCCAAAATTCTTCGTAGCTTGGGGTGGGTGCGGCCGTATGTTGTCATAGAACTCTCTCCCAAAGCAACTACAAATAGTAAATGCAATATCATTCTCATTCTATAAAGTAATAACCCTTAACGCCATGCTTTATACGCTAAGTTTAAAGCTTTATTTAAAAGCTTCGGGTTAAGTGGTAAGATGAGTGCAACACTGCAACGTATTGCCGTATAAGCTAATAAGAATGTCAGACCTCTAGTAGACTACTTGTCTACTAGAGGTAGACATAGAACGGACTCTAGGGTTTAATATATTTTAAATATCTAATAAAATAAAAACAAATTAGTATAAGTAAATAACCTGCTCGAAAGTCTAAAATCTTAGATTGGTCTGGTGAAGCAGCCGTTGGTCTTGTCTAAATAAACTTTTGATATAATTCATATTTTCCTGGATGTGTTTATAAATGGCGAATGAAGTTGCTTGTAGTCGCAACTCCATTGGTAATTAAAGCTTGACAAAATTTACATCGTGCCGATTTAGTTTTTTCTTTTTTTTTTCCCTAACTCAGTATAACCAAAATTAATTATTCCAGGTACTGCAGGCGTTTTTTGAACTTTTATAGCACTCATAGTTTTAAGATAACTTATGAATCTTTACAAATCACCGAAATTAGTAGCAAACACAATTTTAAATACTTAAAATTAGAACAGCAGTACAAAGACTTCCGAAATGGCAGACGCTTTTTTTATAATGAATTTTATAAATAAATTACATGAAAAAATAATAATAATAAAAGAAAATTTTGAAAGTAAAAATAAATAAGAGAAAAATGAAGATTGTTAAGGAAAGAAAAAGAAAGAATTAAAAAAAATTTAAATAAGAAATTAAAATCACCGAACATTTATAAACAATAAATTTCATAAGTTAAAGAAAAAATGAACCAATCGGAACGCACACAAAAAACTTGGATTTTTTTAAAAACGAAAGAGCCTAAATGCGAAATTTTATCTTTGGATCTCGCTTAGACTACAAACCAGTTAAACGTAAGTTAAAATAATAACATTCGAAAATAAAAAATAGTTAAAAAACAGTTGAATTAAAATAGAAGATAAATTGCTCCATTTTTGAAGAGACGGAAAATAATAATTTTAAAATCGCTAAGCCGAAATTAGCAAGTCTCGAGTCAAGTCGCAAATCTCAGGGTAAAACCCAAGTCGAGTCTTGAGTCGAGTCACTGGTGTGACTTAAGTCGGACTCGAGTTCGAGTCGGTTGACTCGAGTATCCAGCTCTGGTTAAAAGTAACGGAACGCGTTCCGCAAGAGCAAAAAAACACGGGAAGAGTAAAAAACGATAACAATCGTTCAGGCACCAAAACACCACTGTTTTTACATTAATTGAGCAAATGCATTAAATTTGCAGTTAGGACAACCGCATTTTTTCGAAATGTTGGTGGATGAACGGCAAACGCATTATTTGTAAAATATTGCTTTACAATAGACTCTAGTAGCACTGTTTATTATAGAAAACTTTCCTAGATACTTGTCTATTTTATACTTTACCCTCTTAACTTTAGTGATACTGTTATTAGTTGAATTGCAAACTGACTGGCCCTCAACAAATTCAAGATCGATAAAAATGTCAACGAAAACTGTTTGCAAGATCGATAAAAATGTCAACGAAAACTGTTTGCAAGATCGATAAAAATGTCAACGAAAACTGTTTGCAGATTCTTTTAGAACTATTTTTGTAGCTCACAAGTCTGTTGAAATTAAAATCCTGCTTATCCATGATTTTTAACTTTTAATTTATTTATTACTTCAAAACATATTTTTTCATCTGGCATATGTTAATAGAAAAAACTTTGAGTTATAAAGATGTTATTAGTTATAGATTACTTCAGCTATCTGCAATACTGTTGAAAGTTATTATAAATCTACAAT